AATGAATGAAGCTGTTCCGAGGTAAAAGAACTCTTGAAAAGTACTAGTGTAGGGGCTGGGGATTTAGCTCAGCGGCACAGCGCCTGCCTGGCAAGTGCGAAGTCGTGAGTTCGATTCCGGGTACCAGAAACCGTCCCCGACCAAAAAAAAAAAAGTAGTAATGTATCAAACATCTGTTCTAAACCTGATAACCAGAGCTACTTTTGAAGACTGTTAAGGGATTAGTGAAGTCAGAAAAACATTTGTTACTGTTAACATAGGGATAAAAAGCAAAGCTAGAATCTATTTTCACTTGACTTTGTATGGGAAGATCTTACTTGAAGTTTTCTCAGAAACAAATAAATGTATTCCTGATGTGTTGACATTGCCAACGCCTAATCATGGCATAACTAGGTTAAATTTGAAGTGGGATTACAACTAGCAAATTTTGAATTAAGCATTAGGTGCTCTGACATCTCTGTATTTCTCTTCCCAGCTGAAAGAGAAGATGATGCTAATGCACTCTCGCTTAGATACAGTAATGCAGTCTCTGAGGGAAGGAACGCCCGACCAGTCCAAGCCAGAAAACTGACTCAGAACCCAGACCTGAGTATAGGCTTCAGGCCTTTCTGCTACTGTCAGCCATGGAGCTGTTGGATCTTTTTTTTCTTGAAACAGGTCTTACTCTAACCCAGGCTGGTCTTGAACTCTCAATCCTCTTGCCTCACCTCCCAGTTGCCAGAATTACAGGCATGTGCCACCATGCCTAGCTTGTTTGGTCATCTTTTGGAAAAAAGAAATGGGTTTCAAGAATTGGGAGAAGAAATTAAAAATAAACACAAAACAAAGAATGGCGGGAGGAAAAGTGGTTTATCATGTTTACTTCTAGTCTGATTTTCCAAATGATTTGTGAAGCTGTTTGTAAAGATGATGCCCTAAGGAGTCTTCTGTACATGTTACACGGCTGTTTGTCTTAAGAATTTATCTTGGCTTATGGGATTCATAATAACTATCTCTAAGTTTTTTTCACTACAAATTTAAGGATTAGGGTGCAGTATCGCTTGTCTCCTCTGACCTAAAGATGCAGGATTGGGCTGAGAGTAGAGTTAGGCTTAATGTGAATTACTGTTAATGTATAGTGATTGTTTTATGAATACTGATGAAGCCTTTTTTGTTTAAATGTAAAATACACATATACTATCCTGTCAATGACATTTAATAAACTGACTACTTAATATACAATTGGTTTCTTCTTTTTCATCACTAAGATATATCCCTAGCTCTTTTTATTTTTTGAGACAGGGTCTTTGTGAGTTCCCAGGCTGGCTTCAAACCTTCAGTCCTCCCACCTCAGCCTCTCCAGGAGCTGGGACTACAGGCATGTGCCACTGAGCCTGGCCCTTCTTCCATTTTTAAAAGGTACAGCGTATAACATACTGGTAAATGAACAGGCACTGAAACCGAACTCTGTGGATTAAAGTTATGCCTTTGGTTTGGGTACTTTTTTTTTCTTTTGGTACTGGGAATTCAACTCAGGACTTTGCCCTTGCCAGGCAGGTGCTTGTGCCACTGAGCTATATCCCCGGCCCAGGTTTGGGTACTTATTATTTGTTGTTTTCTTTTTTTTTTTTTTGGTACTGGGAATCGAACTCAGGACCTTGCACTTGCCAGGCAGGCACTTATGCCACTGAGCTATATCCCCGGCCCATTGGGTACTTAGCCATGAACTTGAAGAATAAACTTTTTGTTTGTGAACTAGAGATAAAAGATTAAATGAGTTGAAGAGTACATACTGTTGATAGTCGGGCATGGTGGCACATGCCTGTTATCCCCGTACTTGGGAGACAGAGGCAGGAGGATCACTGTGAGTTCAAGCCCAGGCTGACCTTTACATAGCAAGACCCTTGTCTCAAAAAAAAAAAAAACAAAAAACCAACCAAACAAAAATACATACCGGCCAGGGACACAGCTCAGTGGCAAAGCGCCTGCCTGGCAAGCGCAATGTCCTGAGTTCAATTCCTGGTACAAAAAAACAAAAACAAAAAACAAACAAACAAAAAATACATACCGGTCGCCAGGTGTGGTGGCGCACACTTATAATCCCAGCACTCAGGAGGCTGAAGCAGCAGGATTGTTGTGAATTCGAGACCAGCCTAGGCTACAAAGTGAGCTCAAGTCTAGCCTGAATTGCATACCACCACCATGTCAAAAAGACAAAAAAAAAAGAAAGTCATATACCACATACAGATGTTTCTACCAACTCTGGACTGAATATATGATGGCAGTCTTATTAGATTACAATGCAGCCAAAAAGTTCATTTCACCTGGTGACACAGCCATTGTGACCTCATGACATATTACTCATGGCGATACTGGTACAAACAAACCTATTTTGCTATCATAGTGTTGCAGGAAAAACTGAGTTAACGGTAGCCAGGAGTTCAGGAGAAATTTTATTGACGCAAACAGACCTCAGAGGAGTGATCGCCACTGTCTGAAGCATTGATTACAGAGAGCTTGTCTTTCATAGGGTGGCAAACAGAAGTTACAAATCAAGATAAGCTTCAGCTGAAGGTATGGTACAACGGGCATCTTGTGGTGAGCATAGTTATATGTAGCAAAGTTGTTTTGGGCACATTCACAGAAGTTTCAATTTGATGACAAATCATATAATTTAGCTGACTTCAGTGGCAGAGAACAATGCCTGCAGCTTTATTGAACAAAATGGCTACAGTTAGGATTTCTGCTTCAATAGAAGTACAGTGTATATAATTAAGTACAGTACATAATGCTTGACAGTGAACAACTGTTACTGGTTTATGTACTTATTATACTATGCTTTTCTGTTTTTTTTCTTACTAACTTTATTGGTACAATTTAGATATAATGATCACAGGGGCTGGGAACTTAGCTCAGTGGCACAGCACCTGCCTGGCAAGCGCGAGGTCATGAGTTCAATTCCTGGTACGGGGAGGGGGGCGGGGGGACACAAAACAACAAAAAAAAACTAGATATAATGATCACATTTATCATAGGGAATTTGTACCTGTGCAGGATATATCCTGAATCTTTTTTTTCCCTAACTTTAGCATACTCTTCAAAAGTTCACTGGGAAATAGATTACTGGTAGCATATCTTATTTACCACTCCTTTTGAGTGCATCATAGGTCGTGTCAAGTGACTGACCAATGCCAACTCTGTCCATGCACTGTTAAAATTTCTCAGAATGTTCCTTTAGTTATGCCATACATTTAAGTACTTAAAAACTCTGAGAATAAACTATAATATTATTTGCATTTTGCTATTGTTCTTTTAAATTCTCTTTAAAATAAAAAAAAGGAATAAACATCACATACTGAAGCTGTGTCTATTTTTCCTACTACTGGGGATTGAACCCATGGTTATCATACTGAGCTACATTCCCAGTCCCTTTTTCTTTTTTTTTTTGATTTTCTCCGGTACCAGGAACCGAACTCACGACCTTGCGCTTGCCAGGCAGGCGCTTTGCCGCTGAGCTAAATCCCCAGCCCTTCCTTCTTATTTTGAGACATTGTCTTACTAAGTTTCCAGGGCTGGGCCAGAACTCAGTATCCTCCTGCCTCCATCTCCAGAATGCTGGGAGTGAATCATTGTGCTTGGCTTCCTTCTGAGTTTAATGAGAGAAACCAACATCTAATACAGTATGTGCTGCACGCAAGATATCAATATTTGTAAAATGAAGAGCCTCATAAATCAGAATGTGGGCCGGGCGTCTAGCTCAGTGGTACAGTGCCTGCCAGGCAAGTGTGAGTTGTGAGTTCGATTCCCAATACCAACAAAACAACAAAAATCAGTATTACGTTAGTCATAATAAAAACCGGCTTCTTTGTTCTTCCCTAATTGACAGCAGCCAGTCCTAGTTTGTAAAATCTTCTTACTGAAAAAGAAAAATTATTTTCTCCTAAAACAGATGTCTCTTTATTATACTTTAATGTTAAAACTGCATCATATAAATAAAGCCAGTGTTTACATATTAAATATACAGTGGTGCCTCAGCTCACAAACACAATTCTCAGGTCACCATTGAACCTAACCATTGAATTGAATTTAGTTTTTGTTGCTTGATTTGTGGCCAGAATTGTATTCAAGCTCATGAATCAAGGAACCAAGGTACCAATGTAAAAGTATCTTAAATGCTATATACATTTCAAATGGGGATGATTTCCTGGAATAATTTTATCATTATACTATCTTCTTACCAGAAACTAAGTATTTGTGTTTTTGTCTTTTTGAGACAGGGTCTCTCTACGCAGCTCAGGCTGGCCTTGAGCTCACTTTGTAGCCCAGGCTGGTCTCAAACTCACAGCAATCCTCCTTCCTCAGCCTCCCAAGTGCTGGGATTACAGACGTGTGCTACTATGCCTGACTTTAAATATGTGTTTATAGTTGGAGCATAAGGGTGCCCTAAAAGTGAAATGACAATGCTTTTTTCTCTTCAGATGGCCATCTGTTCTGGTCCACTGGACAACACCACAAACCACTGCAACTAGGTAAGAAGAAACCCTGGTCCAGAGCGGGTTCTATGGTTTGTGTGTTCTGGAGTGCGTCCTAAAGTCAGCGCTTCTATGCAGCAATTTGCCTGGATCCTGACACCTGCCTTCCTTCTCTGCTGGGGACCTAAGGGATCCCCCAAGTTTTCAACTTGACCTTTCCCTGCCACAGTCCATAGGGGGCCCCCAAACCCACAGCCTACGGGAAACAATGACAATTATCATTACAATGATTATTAAAACATATATGCTATTAATACTAAAATAATAA